AGAGCTCTTGTACATAGGTTCACTATGAGTCATAAGCAACTCAATGGCACATAACAACAGCATCAATAGCTATGAAAGTTCCTTTTAAGTCACATGTATATAAAAAAATGAAGTCTAGACAATAGATACTTGGCAAGTAAACTCAAGGATCTAAGCCACATCAGAGTAATGTTTTTTCTTCTTTTATTGCCTTGTATATTCCCAATTCTTAAACATAAGTACTCAAAAATATTTGTCAAATATGTTTTCTTCTTGCAGTTAAACCTGAATAATAAAAAACAGATTATAATCTATAGTTTAACATAGTTTTATTATTATTGTTGTTGTTGTTGTTAAGTGCCGTCGAGTCGCAGGCGACTCATAGCGACCCTATGAAGGAGAGTCCTTGATGCTTGTGTGCCTTTCATCCTCTCTCCAAGTTCATAGGGTTTCCGGAGGCAAGCTATTATGGAAGTGGATGCCACTCCTCCTTCCACGCTTGTTTAATCGGGGAGCTTTTATTATTTTGGAATATTATTACCTAACTTTATAAAAGAAATCATAAATTGCTGTATTTTGAAAAGTAGAAACCTCTGATCACTACTGAGTGATATCTGCAAATTGATCTCTTTTTTGATGTGTAAAAGAAGGACTAACATTTTCTTTATATCTTGTTGTCTAGGCGGAAAAGGTATTGTTGATTTTGTAAAGAAAGAAATTATTTTAATTTATTTTTTAATGCATGCATGCATCCATTCATTCATCCATTCATGTGCTTTTTCAGCACATTTTTATTGCTTCAGAACCATCTCAGGAACAGGTTTGAGGCCTTGAATAATAACGAATGAAGAGTTGTGGGAGGATATCAAGAGTATCATCCAGGAAGAGTGCAAACGGTCATTACGAAGACAGAAGAGAAAAAAAAAAGACCAAAATGAATATCAGAAGAAACTCTGAATATTGCACTGGAGCGTGGAGAAGCCAAAGCATGAGGAAGAATTCAAAATACTAAACAGCTGAACAGAAGATTCCTAAAGCAGGACGGGATGACAAAGCAAAATATTACAATAAAATGTGCAAGGAGCTGGAGTCAGAAAATCAAAAGGGCTGAACTCGCTTAGCATTTCTTAAACTCAAGGAACTGAAGAACAAATTCACACCTTGAGTTGCTAAAATCAGGATGCTCTGGGCAGATTTTTTTTTCATTGTATGTCTTAAAATTCATTTATTAAAGAATATTTATAGGAAAGTAACAACTTTTGATTTGTTATTTAAAAAAATTGGATTTCTTCATGCTGCGTAATAAGTTAATGGAAGCGGCTAAAGTTACGAGCTTTCTACTGGACTCCTCCAACAGCACAGAACAATGGAGTAATTTCTGCATTGCTAGAATAAATTTAAAAAGTCTCTTCTAAGTTTCTCTTCAAAAAGCCAAGAGTAATAACAGAGGATGGCATAAAAAAGCCATTTCCCCCCGTTCATTCTGTAGTATTGGAGGCAGTATTTTTACCATCAGAGGCTACAATTTTCACTCTATCCACTTTAAAGCTCTGTCACCTCTCTGACTTCAACATCATTCAAAACAAAAGTTCACACATTATCGTAGAATCTGTACGTATTTAAAGAGCCCCTGAAACTGACTCTGTTCCTGACTCTCTGAGCCAATGCTGAATTGATAGCCTTATCAACCTGAAGGAGAACTTGAAGAGCAAGTTGAGGGGTTATCTGTGGAGATTGAATGAGCTCATCTAGGCTCTCTTGAAGACTGTTTCCCAAGGTGGTATTTCTGTATAACTGATAAGCCATGGCTTAGGTGGAAGGAATTGTTTTTCCTATTCAGGCTTGCATGGATGTCCTGTGCGGAAGGCGTTTCCACCACAGAGCTAGGCAGAATATTAAATGATCCAGGAAGGATTAAAAGAAGATGAAAAGAATATACTGAGTCATTGTATTGGAAGGTATTGGCAGACACAGAAGAATTTAATGAAACAACATATGAGCAAGAGCCTATGGTGATGAAGGAATAAGTTCAAGTTGCTTTGAAGGAAATAGCAAAAAATAAGACCCCAGAAATAGATGGTATACCAATTGACATATTTCAGTTGACAGATGATGCCCTGGATGTGCTCATCAAATTGTGCCAAGAAATCTGGAGAACAACCACCTGGCCAACTGACTGGAAGAGATATATATTTGCTCCCATTCCGAAGAAGGGTGACCCAACAGAATATGGAAACTATGGAACAATATCATTGATTTCACATGCAAGCAAGATTCTGCTGAAGATTATCCAAAAACGACTGGAACAGCACATCAGCAGAGAACTGCCAGAAGTCCAGGCAGTGTGTAGAAGGGGTCATGATACTAGGGATATTGTAGGTAATGTTAGATGGATCTTAGCTGAAAGCAGGGAATACCAGAGGAATCTCTATCTGTGTTTCATTGATTATGCAAAGGCATTTGACTGTGTGGACCATAACAAACTGTGGCTGACTCTGAGAAGAATGGTAATCCCAGAACACTTGATTGTGCTAATGCGAAACCTATACTTGGACCAAGAGGCAGTCGTCAGAACAGGGCAAGAAAACACGGCATGGTACAAAATTGGGAAGGGTGTGTGCCAGGGATGAGTCCAATCTCCATACTTTTTCAACCTGTATGCGGAACAGATTATCCAGGAGGCTGGGCTCTATGAGGATAAGTGTGGCATCAGGATTGGTGGAAGATCTATCAACAATCTGCGTTATGCAAATGACACAACCCTGCTTGCTGAAACTGAGGAGGACCTGAAGTGCTTGCTCCAGAGGGTCAATGACTGCAGCCTTCAATGTGGATTGAGGCTCAATTTCAAGAAGACAAAGATTCTCACCACTGGGCCAATTGGCAGCATCAAGATGGATGGTGAAGAAATTGAGATTGTTCACAACTTTAGTTTGCTTGGCTCCATAGTCAACACTCTTGGCACCAGCCACCAGGAAATTAAAAGATGTATTGCAATGGGAAAGTCTGCTTTTAGGGACTTCTCCAAAGTACTGAAGAGCAATGGTGTCACAATATAGACTAAGGTGTGTCTGATACAGGCCATGGTCTTTGCAGTCACTTGTTATGCATCAGAGAGTTGGACAATGACTAGGTAGGATAGAAGGAGAATTGATGCCTTTGAGCTGTGGTGCTGGAGAAGAATATTAAGTGTACCATGGACTGCTAAGAAAGCAAATAGATTCATCCTGGCGAGGGCTAAACCAGGCTGCTCCTTGGAGGCAAAAATTCTGAGGCTTCATCTGACATACTTTGAACATGTTGTAGGGAAGTACAGGTCCTTCAAGAGAGACATTATGCACAGGAGGATGGAGGGACAGTGCAGGAGGGGAAGACCTTGTATGAGGTGGATTGATTCAGTGACTTGGGGTAATTGAGATGGGTGTGGTGGAAGCAGTGCGATTGGCACAAGATAGAGCAGGGTTTAGGGCTCTTGTACAAGGGTCACTGTGGGTCACAAGCAAGTCAATGGCACATAATAACAACAATAACAACCACCCTTAAGAGCATGACTACTCATACAGTGACTAAATAGTAATGTCTCTTGAAACTTGTGTTATATTTTCATTCTTTTAAAAAATACCAAAAACTTTTTATTATTATTTGATTGTAAATTTATAAAGAAATTGGCTTTTAAACAAATTTATTTCTCCTTCCCTCTCTCTCCATTTCCTAATATATGTTCTGTACAAGCTTGTTAGTTGCATTACTCAAATGTTTTGACACATCATAGCTTTTACAGTTAAATGTTTCAGTATGAATGTTAAGATAGCCTGTGAGAAAATGGATCCAATGATATTCCACTGAAAAATAAGAACCTTAGCTACTTCAAAAAGGCTTTTGCCACTGTGTAAAGTGCCTATGTAGTGTTCAGTATGTAATATGAATAGGAATAAAGGAAATCTTGAGGGAAGTCATCTTAAGAAACAAGTGATGGATTCCTGGGGTTTCCATACTATAATACAGATGTGTGTGCACTGTAAAATAAATGATTGTGTAATATTAAGCTTCATGTCTCCTTTTCCTTAAATATCTCAAAAATCCAGCAGTATCTCATTTCTTCGTGGCCATTGTTTGGGCACTGATAAAGTACATAGTTGTGTAAAATTTCTGTTCAGCAACAGCAAAAAAATTGATCACGGTTACTCTGTTAGCTAAATTTATTAGCAATAACTTTGAGAGTGGAAATGGGTCAGGAAAACTAGAAGTCCTTTATTAGTATAAGGAATAGATTTCTTTTTCCCTATTTGTGTCATGATGCAAACTGAGGTTAATAAAAATATGTAATAGAGAAGCTTTAAAATGACCTGCAAAACATTTTTCATAACTAGACCTTATGTACTATACAACCAGAACTTTATTTATCAGGATTTTCATTATTGCCTTGGTTTGGTAGCAGCCAGTTTTCTCTTTGGGACATTTATGTTACTGGATGTGCTGCACTGTGATATTTAATATAAAATATTGTCAGATCTCTATCAAAGACGATACTTAAACAGAAACTAGGAAACATGGGTATGGGTATTTTAGAAGTAAGGAATTAGTTGGAGCAGCATATAGACATTGAAAGCTTCCATAATATATAAAATTCAAGAGAAATAGTTAATTCGGAAAGATTAAGAGGAAAGTGAGTTTCCCCAACATCTTTGGGAGTATAAAAATAAGATTTGAAAGTAAATGAAAGTGGGAAAGAATTCTCTCTAAGCAAGTACAGTTGATTCTGTTACTGTGGTCTCTGAAATACTTGCAGGGCACCTAGAGTTGGAGAACCATGAACTTTATTAAACCCTCACAGGGTCCAATCAGTTCCTCGAAGAATGGGATAAGTCTTGATTTTTCTCCTGCCTTCATTTCTAATTCTTTCTTTTGCTTTCCCTGCATACATGAAAATGTGATTATTTGAAAAGAAAAATAATTGCAGAGATAAACTTAACAGTGTATTGATGAAGAAAAAATGACATGTTATTGTTTATGTGCTTCAGGCTTCTGCTTCTCAAGGTAGCCGGCCAGAAAGTTCAGTGTTCAATGCTTATGAGCCAGATCGAGGACCTTGGACCACTGAACGTGGTAAGAAAATTATTTTACTTACTTGAAATCCACACAGTAGGAAAGTACTTCGCATGTTCACCTGTCAGTTTGTAGTTAGCTCATTGCTTCACATATCACTCTCTCTTGCTGCAATGTAGTGTTAATACTAAATAGCAGTATTGGTAATGGAAGTAGCAGACATCACTTATCTATGAAAACTGAGATTTTTTTTTTTTAGTGAAATGGTATGTTACTATCTCCTTCACACTACAACACTAGAAATGTATAAAATCTAAAAATTATGTCTGCTGCTTCAGTATTTATTGCTTGTTTTGATACTACTGAAAGTTTACATTTCTATGAAAGTGATGCTCTTAGAAATGTATTTGTGTTTCTTATTACATTTAAACAAAAGATATGATAATAACTAGTAAGAAATTAAGAAACATCTGTCTTGTGGGGATTCTACACATATTTTGTAGGAAATTGTGCTGATCCTCAGAGGCCAGAAGAAAATAGTCTATGGTAAAATATATTCTTAGTGAGCTCACTGGTCTTACAGTATACTGTTTGATGACCTTCTTGGGTTTTTAGGTGGCCTAAAAGTAGGAATAGATAGTATACCAATTGACATATTTCAGCTAACAGATGCTGCCCTGGATGTGCTCACCGAGTTGTGCCAAGGAATCTGGAGAACAAACACTTGGCCAACTGACTGGAAGAGATCTATATTTGTTCCCATTCCAAAAAGGATGACCCAACACAGTGTGGAATCTATAGAACAATATCATTGATTTCACATGCAAGCAAGATTCTACTGAAGATTATGCAAAAATGACTGGAACAGCACATCAGCAGAGAATTGCCAAAAGTCCAGGCTGGGTTTAGAAGGGGTCGTGGTACTAGGGATATTGTAGCTGATATTAGATGGATCTTACCTGAAAGCAGAGAATACCAGAAGAATGTCTATCTGTGTCTCATTGATTATGCAAAGGCGTTTGACTGTGTGGATTATAACAAACTGTGGCTGACACGGAGAAGAATGGGAATCCCAGAACACTTAATCGTGCAAATGTGAAACCTATACTTGGACCAAGAGGCAGTCGTCAGAACAGAGCAGGGTAACACTGCATGGTTCAGAATTGGGAAGGGTGTACACCAGGGATGTGTCCTATCTCCATACCTTTTCAACCCGTATACAGAGCAGATTATCCGAGAGGCTGGGCTCTATGAGAAGAGTGGCATATGCAGATGACACAACCCTGCTTGCTGAAACTGAGGAGGACTTCATGCACTTGCTGCAGAGGGTCAAGGACTGCAGCCTTCAGTATGGACTGAGGCTCGATGTCAAGAAGACAAAGATTCTCACCACTGGACCAATTGGCAGCATCAGGATGGATGGCGAAGAGATTGAGATTGTTCACAGCTTCAGTTTGCTCGACTCCACGGTCAACAGTCTTGGCACCAGCATCCAGGAAATAAAAAAGCATATTGCAATGGGGAAAGTCTGGTGTTAGGGACCTCTCTAAAGTACTCAAGAGCAACTGTGTCTCTCTGGAGACTAAGGTGCGCCTGACACAGGCCATGGTCTTTGCAATCACTTGTTATGCATCAGAGTTGGACAATGACTAGGGAGGACAGAAGGAGAATTGATGCCTTTGAGCTGTGGTGCTGGAGAAAAGTATTGAATGTACCCTGGACTTTCAAGAAAACAAACAGATTTATCCTGGAGAGGGTTAAACCAGGCTACTCCTTGGAGGCAAGGCTTCTGGGGCTTTGTCTGACATACTCTGGACATGTTGTAAGAAGGGATTGGCCCTTGGAGAGGGACATCATGCTTGGGAGAGTGGAGGGACAGCGCAGGAGGGGAAGACCCTCTGTGAGGTGGATTGATTCAGTGACTGGAGTAATCCGGATGGGTGTGTCAGAGGCAATGCGATTGGCACAGGATAGAGCAGGATTTCGGGTTCTTGTACATAGGGTCACTATGAGTCGCAAGCGACTCGACGGCATCTAACAACAACAACAACAAAAGGTGTATTATAATAATGAAGCTGAGCTATTACTGTTTTGCTACAAAAACTTCACTACATTTTGTTGTTGTGTACTGTAGTCGCTGACTCTGGCGGGTTTTCAAAGGCAGTTAATCATGTTGGAGGAGATTACCCATCCCTCTCCCACCCGCAAATGTAGAGTCTTAAAATAGTAGCAATCTTCTGATTTTCTCACATAGATTCTATAGATCATGAATTTGGGGAAAGTTCAGCTAGGGAATTTGGCTCAGGGGTTTTGTTTAGGGGCTATGGCTACAGTCAGATTCCAAGCCAATTTAATTTTCTCGGACACACCTGCTCCTGTTACTTCACTGTGTCAATCCATCTCATCCAGGGGCTTCCTCTTCTGCATTGTTCCTCTACCTGTCCAAGCATGATATTCTTCTCCAAGGACAGGTCCATCCTGAAAACAAGCTTCAGAGTATGTGAGATGGAGCTTCAAAATCTTTACCTTGAAGGAACAGCTTGGTTACTCTCTCCAGGACAGACCTGTTAGTTCTCTTGACAGTCCATGGTGTATTCAATATTCTTCTCCAGTACCACAACTTAAAGGCTTGAATTTTTTTTTTCTGTAATTCTTAGTCATTGTCCAGCTCCCTGATAATTGTGAAGATCATGGTCTGTATCAGGTGCACCTTAGTCTCTAGACCAATATCTTTGCTCTTCAGCACTCTGGAGAGGTCTCTGACAGTAAATTTTACTAATTCAATTAATCTTTTGATTTCCTGGCTGCTGGTGCCAAGAGTAGTGATTGTGGAAGCCAAACAAGCTGAAATTTTTAACAGTGTCAATCTCTTCTCTCTCTGCCATGGTGCTGCCAGTTGGCCTAGTAGTGAAATTTTTCATTTTCTTGAGGTTCAGCTGTAGTCCATCTTGAAGGCTGTAGTCCTTGACATTCTGTAACAGATGCTTTGGGTCTTCTTCAGTTTTCAGCAAATGAGGGTGTGTCATCTGCATAGTTCAAGTTGTTGATGAGTCTTCCTCCAATTCTAATGCCACTTGCCTCCTCAGAAAGACCAATCCCTTTCATGATCTGTTCCACATATGGATTGAAGAGGTATAAAATAGGATGCATCCATGATGCACTCATTTCCCAATTTTGAACCATGCAGTATGTCCTTGCTTTGTTCTTCCAACTGTCTCCTGGTCCAAGTGTAGATTTTGCATGAGCACAAGCAAGCGTTAGCACAAACAATTTGTTATGATCCACACAGTCAAATGCCTTTGTGTAGTCCATGAAACACTGATAGACATTCTCTGCTTTTAGCCAAGATCCATTTGACATTGGCAATAATGTCCTTAGAGCCACGGCCTCTTCTAAACCCAGCCTGTACTGCTGATAGTTCTCTGTTGATATACTATTGCAATCACTTTTGGATAACCTTCAGTAAGATTTTGGTTGTATATGATAATAGTGATATTGTTTAATAATTTCCACACCCTATTGGATCACCCTTTTGGGGAATGAGAATAAATATGGATCTCTTCTGGTCAGCTGACAAGATAGCTGTCCTCCAGATTTCTTGGCAAAACTTGGTAAGCCCATTTAGGGCAGCATCTGTCTGCCGAAATATGTTAATTGGTATTCCATAAATCTCTGGGTCTTTACTTTTTGCCAGTTACTTCAGAGCAGCTTGAACTTCCTCCCTCATGACCACTTCCTATTGGTCATATATCATTTCGTGAAATTCTTCTCTGTCATCCAATTATTTTTGGTATAGTGACTCTGTACCCCTTCCATCTTTTTTTGATGCATTCTGGATCATGTAAATCACATATCTTATTTCTAATATATTATAAGGGTTGAAACCATTATAAAAGCTTCCAAAGAGAGGTGACAGTGTAATTTCTATATGGCCAGATTGTAAAAGAAACTTTTCAGACACAGATTAAAACTACCATAGACCATAAAGTATCTACCTGTGGTGTGATTGATGCTTCTTCATTCTTAAAGGAATGCTGCATATGCTGGTGCAAGAACAGAAGTCAGGTAAAAAAGAACATGAGGGCTCTCTTGCTTCTCTCCTGTGAGATAGGAGAAGCACTTCTTTGACTCCATTTAATTGATGGCTCCATCTGTCAAGGGAGGGTATCAGGGTCTTAAAGGTATAGTATGGTCCCAGAAAGGGGTAGGAGCAAACTGTGAGAATTTAATGAAGGATTCAGGCCGAGACACTGGATGCATTGCAGGTCCCCAGAGAGAAGCCTTGCCCATGGACACTGAAGTGTATGAAAGCCCCTACGCAGACCCTGAAGAGATCAGGCCAAAGGAGGTCTATCTGGACCGAAACCTTTTGACCCTGGAAGACAAAGAACTTGGCTCTGGAAACTTTGGAACTGTAAAAAAGGGTTACTACAAAATGAAAAAGTAAGTCCGTTTGTATTATCATGTTATTCTCTTTACTTTCATTATATTTCTAGACACTGCTAAGTAGACTGTTAATTTAATATTAATAATGAGGTTTAAAATAGCCAGTTCCTCTGTAAATGAACATTGTTATTTTATTCATTTCTGGAAAAATTATAATGAAAGCATCAGTTAAGTGTACTAAATAATACTATTAAAGTTAATAAACTACTATTAGCTTAGAAGTCATAAATGCCCTTGCAGAAAAATTAGAAAACAGAAACAAATAAATATATGACATAAAAATGTTCTAGGTGGCTTGCTGGTAAGAAACTGTGCTATGTCCCAAAGGCACACAGTTCAAAGCCACCAGCCTGGAGAAGAATGGGCAGTCTCCTCCTGTGTGATAACTGCCTCTGAAAAACTGCTGGAGGGTCAGCTGTGAGTTGGTTCTGACTCAACAGTACACAACAACAACTACCACTAATTAATGTGTATGTATGCGTGTATGTGTATGTAATTTTCTCATATCCTTTTCTGGATGCATACTACACTTATTCTATTATTCTTGTATTTTATATATTTTACTGGGTAGTTAAAGTACAATAAAAGAAGTATAATATCTCATATCTATGAGAAGTCACAGAAAGAAACCAGTTTTTAAAATCATACATAACTAAGTTTTATCCAGTTATTTAAGCCCTACCATATTAAGAGTATTTAAGAATTCAAGCATAACTTATGTGATAATTCTATTAGAAAATTAAGGCAGTTTTATTTATCAAAAACTTATTGAAACCTGATTAAAATAAACAAAACTCAATTGAACAAAAGTATGTTTTAAGTAATAAGCTTGAACAGTGTATACTTTTAAATTCTGTGTTAGGAATTAATTTTTAGCATATATTATATATGCTCACACACACCACTACCTGTCAGTGAAGGTTTGTATGTTGTTATAAGGTTCAGTAGGTTTTATTGGAGTGTCTAATAAGATAGAAAAGGAGGAAAGGCCAAGTGATCTACTTCTGAAAATTAGCCACTGAAAATCTGATTGGAGCAAGGCTAGGCAGCATTTTATTCCATTACAAATGACGTCACCATGACTCAGGGGACAACACAACAACACATATTTATATACTTTATACATGACCTGAACTGATACATTGAAAAGTGTTGTAGGAATCCTGCATATCATAGCTTATAAAGTTTATTTAAAAGTTATTTACATACTATGCAATCTTTGTCTTTTACTTGACTAAGATACTTTGTAGCACCACAAGTCTATATTATTTTTAAACAATAAAGTGTTTCTTTATGACAAAAAGAAAAAACAAATTTGTATGAGTATCCCAGGGGAGGAAGGAGGGTTTAGAGAGGTGAGGATGGGCCGGGGAGGGGGCGGTTTAGTCATAGGGTCACACAATTTGATGGGTTGAATGAAGGGTAAGTTAAGGAAATGGGAAAGATTCTGTGTGAAAAATAATGGATACAAATTTTGTAAGTAAACCAATATAAAATAACATTTTTATCACACAAAAAAGAAAGGAAATTATTAACTTATAACTTACCTTCTTAAAACACATTTATATTCTGTTACAGAATATTTCCATAACACAATTTCTGTGTAGGAAATTATGTCTCAGGGAAGGTAACTCTATAGAAGTAAATTATTTTGAACATTTTATGATTTCTTTGGCAGAGTTGTGAAAACAGTGGCTGTGAAAATACTGAAGAATGAGGCCAATGACCCTACTCTGAAGGATGAGCTCTTAGCAGAAGCCAATGTTATGCAGCAGCTGGATAACCCTTACATTGTGCGCATGATTGGGATCTGTGAGGCTGAGTCCTGGATGCTGGTGATGGAGATGGCAGAACTGGGTCCCCTCAATAAATATCTGCAACAGAATAGGTATCTTTATTCTGACTATCTCCTAAAAGAAGAAAAGCCAGTGCTATGAAGGACAGAACCTTTTTGCTTCCCTTCTCTTCTTTCTAGTGTCATTCCACATTGAATGACCTTGAGAGGAGAGCACAGAAAAATGTCATCTTTGTATCCAATTTTCATTTATTCCTATTACTCAGTTGTTGTTGTTGTTGTTGTTGTTAAGTGCCATGAAGTCCAGCATGACTCATAGCAACCCTATGAATAAAAGACCTGAATCTCGTTCTATAACTATTGTTGTTTCTCACTCTACATAGAGTTTCTGGAGCCATGTTGCTTAGGCTGTAGATGCCATTCCTGCTTCCATGCCTGTTTTAATCTGGAAGACCTGAATCTTGTTCTATAACTATTATTGTTTCTCACCATACATAGAGTTTCTGGAGGCATGTTGCTTAGGATGTGGATGCCATTCCTGCTTCCATGCCTTCCACCAAATACTGTCCACCATTGGTGACCATTATGGCATTTTATATACTAGGGGCACAGCATTCAGTATGACTGTAACCCCAGGTTATCTCAGTAGAGTGAATTGACAGACCACTTAGAAGAATGTTCATTCTAAACACAATTAAACACCCGGCCTTCAACCAAAACAAGAAGAACCCACCTTTCAAAACCCAACAGCTTCACACATGAGCCTCTAAAGTGAAGACTTAGTTGGGACACAGCTGACTTTTCGATACACAGGCCCATGCAACAAAAATCTAATACGCATTGTCTTCATTCTCCTCTCCTACTCACTCTGTACTAGAAATATTCCCTAACAGAGGCAGGTAATTTTTTATTTTGATGAGATATTTATAACAGAACTCTGGCATCACTTACATTCTCCTTGTTGTACTGTCATTCACCTCAAGTCAACATCATTGCCATTAAGAGGAACCAGCTCATAACTGGCCCTCTGGTGGATTTTTTGAGGCTATAAATGACATCATAAGGGATTGCCCATCTATCTCTCATGGCATTGGTGGTAGATTTGACCAAAGAGGCCCAACCTTTGGGTTAGAAGGACACCATAGTATTGGACTACAACAGCAGAACTCCATATTACCAACCATTACCATTATCTATTTTTAAATTTCTCCATCACTCTTAAGAAAAACTCAGTTGCTCCTAATATATGACCCTCTCATTCTCTTTCCTGCCTGCCTCTGGTAATCACTAATAAACTTTGGTCTATATGCATTTGCCTATTCAAGATCATTCATATAAATGGGATCATGAAATACTTGTCCATTTATGTCTTACTCATTTCACTCAGTATAATGATTACAAGGCTTATCCATAATAAACTTTCATCAGAACTTTACTTTTTTTGCTTGAATAGAACACACTCATTTTTGAAAGAATACTCTTATAAAGGGTAACAGTTTTACATACCTAAGTGACAATCATATTGCTAAACTCTCTTGAGTAAATGCTCTTGAAAATGTCTTTAACTCTTAATTGATTAGACTCTTCAATGGAATAGCCATGATGTGTTCAACTAAAGCTATTGTTAGGGTGGAAGAATAAACTCCATATGGCCTCTGTGTTAGAATACTAACCTCAAGGTTAGCAGATTGAACCTACCCAACAGAGACACTGGGAAGAAAGACTTGGTGATTTCCTTCCATAAAGGTTATAACCAAGAAAATCCTATGGAGCAGTTCTATTGTGTAGCACTTGGGCTCTTCCAATTTGCTACTTTGTGCTTCTACTTTACTCAGATTTTATCTTTAAGAATCCATAGAGGGTGATTATTATTATCCCTATTTTATAGATAAGATACCAATAAATGGATAAATTTTATTGCTTGCCTAGTATTGGATTAATGATATGAATAGATGCCTGACTTACTATGAGACGGTGTGCTGCTTTTTATGCTATTTCAGTCACCCCATGAAAATGTCACCTAATGAGCAGAAAAAGGAGAATGGCATTTAGTCTCAGACAGTGTTAACAATATCTCATCACAATTTATGACTCTTTTTGCTTAAGAATTATAGGAAATTAGCTAATTAATTTTCAGTGTGTCTGGTTGTTCCAAAATGGCCCACTGTCCACCAACTCTAATGATACATTTATAACTTCTAGGCATGTCAAGGATAAGAACATAATAGAACTGGTTCATCAAGTTTCCATGGGAATGAAATATTTAGAAGAGTGCAATTTTGTGCACAGAGATCTGGCTGCAAGAAATGTGTTGCTGGTTACTCAACATTATGCCAAAATCAGCGATTTTGGGCTTTCCAAAGCACTTCGTGCTGATGAAAACTACTATAAGGTAGGAACAATTTAACTAATGTTTAGAGCAACAGTAATAAGAATCTGTAATGCAAATGTGTTTTGCTATTTTAAGAAGCTTCCCTATTTAAAAATAACAATATAGATATTTTATTACATTTTAATTCTATTGCTTCAAAATAGAAATATAATTTCTCAAACTTTAAGTTTTATTCAGAATAGTATGTTCCAAACTATGTTCTGTAGAACTATATAGAATCAAAGTATTAATTGATGAGTCATTAAAAATACATAAAGAAGAAAAAAAGGAATGCTTTATTAAATTACTTTGGAAAATTTCAGTTAAACATGTTTTATTCCTGCCGTATTTGTTAGAGCTTCTCCCTTTTTTTTTGTTTCTTCAAAATTTAATTTTCCCAAAGAAATAAAACAGATTTCATGTGGAAAAAATGAAGGTAGATTCCAGAATTTGAAAGTGTGTTGAGCACTGGAGGAGTTTTGAGGGTAGAATAATATTAGTAACAGGCAACACTGTGCTTGCTGTGTACATTCAATCATTCATTGCTATCAAGTCTGAACTCATAGCTGACCCTCAAGCAGATTTTCAGAGGCTGTAAATTGCAAGAGAAGAGATTTGCCATCTTTCTTCTTTGGAGCAACTGTTGGATTCAACATGATTCAAGCATGATGTTGGGTTAACAATGGTCAGCAGACCACCAGAGCTCCCTGCTATGTATATTGTGAAATTCCCACAACAGATGTATGAGATGGAGAGACTTAAGCACCAATAGTAATTTAGTCAACTACTAATATAAGTAGTATAATAGATGGATTTGAATACAGACAGTCAGTCTTTGGAATCACTACTCCATTTTGTTTATCTGAGTTTAAGTATATGGATAAGTATATAGATTCCCAACTAGTTTTGATGACATAAATGATTAAGCACTGGGCTGCTAATTGAAAGATTGTTGGATAGAATGCAGCCAGCAGTGGTGGTTGTTCTCATGTACCATTGAGTCAGAACCAACTGACAGCTGACCATCCAGCTGGTTTTCAGAGGCAGTAAATCTTACAGGTGATTGTCTTTCTTCGATGGAGCAGCTGGTGCATTTGAACCAGAGGTCTTTGAGTTAGCAGCACAATTCCTTTCCAGAAGGCCACCAGAACTCCCAGTGGTTATACATAAAAAACACCTAGTGAGCTGCTTCTGTAAAAATTATGACTAGGAAAACCCATTGGGCAGTTCTGCTCAGCTACGTAGGCCCTCTCTGAGTCAGAAACAATCCAACAGCACCCAAGAACACAATAGGTGGATGTCTAAGTGAATACTTTGAAGAGTAATTCTTAACGTGATGATACATTTTAGTCTGATTTGTGAAAATATTACTAAATTTAGAAGCCTAAATACATGTTGGATGCTGTTTTACTGGTCAGATCTTCTAGAGGAAGATATGCAGCATATATTTTAAACTTTTAAAAAAGTTTTATTTTATATTAGTTTGCTTACAAAGTTCATACTCATTGTGTTTCACACTATTCACATTGTGTTTCATAGAGTCATTTCCATTCATTATGTTGTTGTTGTTGTTGTTGTTGTTGTTGTTATGTGCCATCGAGTCGTTTGCAACTCATAGCGACCCTAGGTACAACAGTCCTAAACCCTGCTCTATCCTGTGCCAATCGCATGGCCTCTAACACACCCATCCCGATTACCCCAGTCACTGAATCAATCCACCTCATAGAGGGTCTTCCCCTCCTGCACTGTCCCTTCACCCTACCAAGCATGATGTCCCTTTCCAAGGACCTGTCTCTCCTTACAACATGTCCAAAGTATGTCAGACGAAGCCCCAGAAGCCTTGCCTCCAAGGAGTAGCCTGGTTTAACCCTCTCCAGGTGCATCTGTTTGTTTTCTTGGCAGTCCAGGATACATTCAGTACTCTTCTCCAGCACCACAGCTCAAAGGCATCAATTATCCTTCTATCTTCCCTACTCATTGTCCAACTCTCTGATGCATAACAAGTGATTTCTAAGACCATGGCCTGTATCAGGCACACCCTATTCTCCAGAGAGACACCGTTGCTCTTGAGTACTTTCGAGAGGTCCCTAATAGCAGACTTTCCCATCGCAATGTGTTTTTTTATTCCCTGGCTACTGGTGCCAAGAGTGTTGACTTTGGAGCCAAGTAAACTGAAGCTGTGAACAATCTCAATCTCTTCGCCATCCATCCTGATGCTACCAGTTGGTCCAATTCTGAGAATCTTTGTCTCCTTGACATTGAGCCTCAGTCCATACTGAAGGCTGCAGCCCTTGACCCTCTGCAGCAAGTGCATGAGGTCCTCCTCAGTTTCAGCAAGCAGAGTTGTGTCATCTGCATATCACAGATTGTTAATAAATCTTTCACCAATCCTGATGCCATACTTCTCCTCATAGAGCCTGGCCTTTCAGATAATCTGCTCTGCATACAGGTTGAAAAGGTATGGAGATAGGACACATCCCTGGCGTACACCCTTCCCAATTCTGAACCATGCGGTGCTACCTTGCTCTGTTCTAACGACTGCCTCTTGGTCCAAGTATAAGTTTCACATTAGCACGATTAAGTGTTCTGGGATTCCCATTCTTCTCAGAGTCAGTCACAGTTTGTTTTAATCCACACAGTCAAACGCCTTTGCATAATCAATGAAACACAGATAGACATTCTTCTGGTATTCTCTGCTTTCAGGTAAGATCCATCTAACATCAGCTACAATATCCCTAGTACCATGACCCCTTCTAAACCCAGCCTGGACTTTTCGGCAGTTCTCTGCTGATGTGCTCTTCCAGTTGTTTTTGGATAATCTTCAGGAGAATCTTGCTTGCATGTGAAATCAATGATATTGTTCTGTACTTTCCACACTCTTTGCTGAAATATGTCAATTATGTTAGATAAAATTAATCACCATTGCTCTTGAGTGCCCACCATTACCTTGTCTTCCCAGGTTCCCACCAGATCTTTCCCATTTCCTTTGCCCTCTCCCTCCACCCACCAAATTGTGCAACTTTGTGATTTCATCCTTATCCATCCTTACCCTTCTGCTCCCACCTCTTCTTTTCCCCTTAGATCCCCATATATATTATACTAGTTGTCCTTCTACTTTTGCAATAATGGTCGTGTGCAGTATTTGTCCTTATTGTTAGAGCCTTTTGCATGCCAGTTTGCAGTATGAGTCTCAGTAGAAGTTTTATGACCTGCTTCATTTTTCACACCTAATTTCTCTACAGAATCTCCACATCCTATAGAAGATTGATTCCCTGGAATTCCAAAATAACCTATAATATAGAAGAACAGATGCATTTGAGTTGTGATGCTGGAGAAAAGTCTTTGACATACCGTAGACTTCCAAGAAAATAAATAGGTCTGTCTTGGAGAGGGTGAAACAAATTTCTCCTTGGAGGCTAGGATCTTGAAGCTCTGTCTTAGAAATTTTGAGCATGTGGCCAGTAGGTACCAGTCCTTGGAGAAGGACATCATGCTTGGAAAGGTGGAGGGACAGTGCAGGAGAGGAAGACCTCAAATGAGATAGAGTGACACAGTAACTAGGGCAACGGGGGTAGGTGTGTTGTAGTCAGTGATACTGACTCGGGACAAGGCAGGCTTCAGAAGGTTGCTATGAGTGTCTCAGTCATCTCAATGGCCCATAACAAGAACAATAACAGCAACATCATCATCATATATTCTAAAGCAAACAAAGGGAAATGGGCAAGGAATAAAGGCTTGAATCCAAGAGTTTTAAAAATTACTTTATTGCATGTACTTACATAGATGTGTAAGGAACCAAGATGACATTTTACATAATATATCAGGCTGCTAACCAAAATTATGGAAGTTCAAATTCACCAACTACTACTCCTCAGTGAAAAGATGAATGGTGTTCTCCCATAAAGATTTATAAACTCATAAACCCAGGGGAGGGTCATTATGAATAGGAATCAACTTGCAGCAGTAGGTTTGTTTTTGGTATATGAAAAGGTGATTAAATTTAAAACAACAACAACATTAAGTGTTGTTGTTGTTGTTAAGTACTATAGAGTCGTACATGACCCATAGTGACCCTATGAATTAAAGTCTTGAACACAAAACTTTCATCTTTTCTCCAAGTTCATAGAATTTCTAGAGGCAAGCTTTTTTTGGAAGTGGATGCCGCTCCTGCTTCCAAGCCTATTTTATTCAAGAGATCCACAAAAAGACAGGCCCAAGGGCCACAGGCATGAGGACCCAAAAGTCTTTTTAAATACAAGGCCAAATCTAATCAGCTCACATCCTGTTTCCAGCAGCAATTACACTCTAGTCTCAACACTAACCCAGAAAACACACCTTTGCAGAATCCAGCCATTCAACTCACCTTCCCATCCTGGAAATAGACCCTGACTGTAGCCCAAAAGTCTTTTTAAATATATACAAGGCAAATCCAACCAGCTCAGATCCTGCTGGGAGCAACAGCCACACTCTAGTCTCAACCCTAAACCAGAAAACACACCTGTGGAGAATCTGGCTGTTCCACTCATCTTCCCAGGATATAAATAGCCCCAAACTGGCAGCCAAAAGCCTTTTTAAGTATGAGGTCAAATCAAATCAGCTCACACAAGTGTAGGGGGAAAAAAAGTACTGCCCTAGTCTTGTTACAAAAAGAAATTACCAGCAATTTAAGCATGTGAATAGTTTCAATTAGATGGATGCATGAAACTGGGGGTAGAAGTGGATGGGTATCCTGGTGGATGGTGGAGCAGGGAAATAAGTGGGTAAAGACGTGTGTGAGAAAGGCAGGGACAACACTGACACTAAAGTTAACTCCGCGGAAGGAACCCCTGGAGAAGCTCAATATCAGCTGTGAAAACTAGGTCAGGAGCTGATTATGGAACGGACCACCAACTGCTCATATGCAAGTTCAAGCTATAGCTAAGGAAAATTAAACTGAATCCATGGGAACCAAAATATGACCTTGAGTCTATCCCACCTGAATTTCAGAAGGATCTTAGGAACAGGTTTGCGGACTTGAACAC